ACACACACACACACATACACACACACACACTTAATTAATGTAAAAGAAAACTCATTTTATACAAAAACAAATGAAGCATGTGCCCTTCTTTCTAGCTTCTGGATAGACTTCCTTTATTAACTACTTTTGAGGTTGCAGCCATCCAAGTGTAGATCCACAGCAAGGCAGCGTAGGTTTCCATGGAAGAACTCCTCCATGGCTGGTGGTCATCACTGATGAAGACGTGCAGAGGCAGTAGACATATGTTCTCAGAGTAGACTGCATTTTCAGCCTCCTTTTAAAAATTCTCCTGTGTATTGGATTCCACCAGCATCTTTCTTGTTTGTACTTGTAAGAAGGATTAAATATAGTCTTTTCTGTCAAAAACTACATTTTTTTCATTTATAAGAAGGAATTCAAGGGGCTGGAGAGCTCAGCGGTTAAGAGCACTGACTGCTCTTGCAGAGGATCCGGGTTCGATTCCCAGCACCCACATGGTGCCTATGAACCGTCCTTAACTCCAGTTCCGGGGGAATCCGAAGTCCTCTTCTGACCTCCACGGCATTGCATGACACAGGTGCACTCACATACATGCTGCAATACTCTCATATACATAAAATAAAAATAATAAATACAAATATTTTTAAAATTTGGCAGAATTTAGCAATAAATCTGTCTTTTCTTCATGGGGAAATTTTTATTAGTTTCACTCTTGTTGTCTGGAGTAGAGCTGATTAGGTTGTATCTCTTGATCTAATTTTGGTAAGTTATATGTATCTAGGGATTTATCACTTCTACCTTTTCCACTTTTGTTGGAAACATTCTCTAATGATACTTTTGACTTCATTAGAATCTGTTGCAACCTCCCACTTTCTCATCTCTAATTTTTATTAACTTGGGTCTTCTCATTCTTTCGGTTAGTTTGACTAGGGATTTGGCACATTTTCTTTATCATTTCAGAGCCAGATCTTTTGTTTTGGCCTACGTCCTGTTCATTTCATTGCTCCATTTCATGATTTCAACCCTAATTTTTACTATTTCTTCCCTCCTACTGCTTCTGGGTTTGGCTTTTTCTTATTTTTCTAAAATCTTGAGTTGCACCATTAAGTTACTTGAAATCTTTGGTTGTGTGTGTGTGTCTGTGTGTGTATGATCTACGTGTTCATGTGGATGTGCGTGTGGATGCCAGGGGTTGACAACAGGTGGCTTCTTCAGCCACTCTTCACCTTCTCTTTTGAGACTGGATCTCTCATATTACCTGAACCTCCCTGATTGACCTATGTTATCTGTTTCTGCCTCCCCAATGCTAGATTACAAATATGCACCATCGCTTTTGGCTTTTTACATGTGTGTTGAGAATCCAAACTCAGATCCTCATTCTTGTGCAGCAAGCACCTTACCAACTGACCTATTTCCCCAGTCCTTGCCTGATATTTTTAATGTAAGCATTCATAGGTATAAACAAATGTTCCTCTTAGAACTGCCTGAGCTGTATCTCAAATGTTCTGGTAAGTTGTGTGTGTGTGGGGGGGGGGGGTTAATTTTTTAAATTAAATTTTTGTGTATTTCATACATAAAATCATCTTTACACTCCCCCTCCCCCCCCCCCCCCCCCCCCGCCGAGTTCATACATGCTGAGAGAGCCTCTGTGATGGTTGGTCCTGTTTCTCTGAGTCTTCCTTTGGTTGACTGGATTACCAATGCTGTCCCAGCCCATGGGCGATGCTTCACAGGAGTGATCCCAGCTCTGGTCACACCTGTGTCAATTCCTTCAAGGGCCTCATTGCAAATGCTGACCTGCCCCAATGTAGCTCTTGCCAATGTCCTGCATGCCGCTTAGAGTCTGAGTGAATGAAACTTCTGGTGCATACTTTGAGTCCCAACAGGTTGTCAGCTCACTGAATGCTGTGCAGATCTGATTCAAAGTTTCACAGTATTCAATTTGTCTGAATTTAGCATATAGTCTGTCTTGGATCACTTGGTCTGTATTTCCCATGAATGTGGTTCACAGAGGGTCTTGGGCTGCAGAAGTCTTTAGAATGGCATCTGGTTTCAGCTCTGTTGCCAGTGTTGGGTACCCAGTGTCAAGGGGTACCCAAGTATCAAGTTTTCTGAGCTCTTCCTTCTGCTATTGATACCACTATCCTGGGTAGCCCCTGTTTCCAGCGGTTTAGTGTCCTTCATCTTTCCTCAAATTATTCCCTAGAAAGTCTGGCTGAGCCTGCCTGAGTGCAGTCCGCCATCTTGGGTCTTTTTTAAAAAACGGTGTATGCCCGTGAGAGGCGAGAAAACAAATTGTGGGAGTTCTCTCCTTGCACCATGTGGGACAAACTCAGGTCGTAAGGCTTGATGGCAAGTGCCTTTAGCCTCTGAGCCATCTTGCTGGCCTCTTTTTTGGTTTTTTTAGAGATAGGGTCTCAGTATGTACTCTGGGTGGTCAGGAACTTGTTATAGGCTAGACCAGCCTAGGTCATTTGTGGTAATCCTCTTGCCTCTGCCTCCCAAATGCTGCAATTACATTGTGTGCTTGGCTGAAACAAATTTTTGAAGGAATGAATATTAAATAAATCTTGAAATCTGACTGTCAGTAGTGGCAATGACAGGAATTCAACTGAAACCAAAGTATAGATAATGGGCTAACTGTAAAAGAATGCCCACTATACTTCAAACTCAGAGATCCACTTGCCTTTGCCTCTTGAGTGCTAGGATTAAAGGCCTGCCCCACCATACCCTTCACATATCCCATTTTTCTTGGTGACCAGTTTTTAACCAAAGAGCAAGGGCTGTACAGAGCGGCCAGTCATTCAGGACGTGCTTATACCACGTTACATAGAGAAATTACTACAAACCTGACAATGTGTATGTCATTTGCTGCTTTCTTCCCTCCCTCCCAAGAAGAAACACAACTTTAATGAATGCCTTCAATCCTTTAGGAAACATGCTCTTCTTACTAATACTTAGCCAAGCTCAGCAACATTTCTAAGTTTTTATTCTTTTTGTAGCCTTGAACTCACAATATAGCCAAGAATGACCTTGAACTTCTTTTTAAAAATTTTATTATTTTTTAAAAATTATGTGTATATATGTGTAGGTTTGTGCATGAGTACAATGCCCATAGATTCTCTGGAGCTGGAGTTAAAGGCAGTTGTAAATCAGTTGATATGGGTGCTGCGAATCGAAATGAAGTCCTCTTCAAGAGCAGTATGTGTTTTGAACCACTGAGCCATCTCTCCAGCCTCACCTGGAACTTCTGATCCTCCTACCTCTACTTCTCTCCTATGCTAATTATAGGTGAGAGCCACCAAGCCTTGTTTTCTGAGTGCTGGGAATAGCGCTAGGGCTTTCTGCACTCTAGACAAACACTTCTCCAAGTAAGGTATATCCCATCATTGTCTTTATTATTATTATTTTTTAATTTTATGTGTGCCAGGCGTGGTGGCACACGCCTGTAGTTCCAGCACTTGGGAGGCAGAGGCAGGAGGATCTCTGGGAGTTCAAGGCCAACCTGGTCTACATAGCGAGTTCCAGGACAGCTGGGGCCACAGGGAGACCATGCTTCAAAAAGACCAAAAAAAAAAAATTTTTTTTATGTATATGAGTGTATTGCTTGAATGTGTAAGTACACCCATGTCATACAATACCCAAGGAGGCCAGAAGAGGGCATCAGATCCCCTGGAACTGGAGTTACATATGACTGTCAGCTGCCATGTGGCTGCTGGAAATCAAACCCAGGTCTTCTGCAAGAGCAGCCAATGCTTTTAACTGCTGAGCCATCTCTCCAGTTCCCCATCATTGTCTTTTATATATATTTTATTCATTTTTTAAAAATTTTATGTGTATGAGTATATTGCCTGTATGTAGTAAGTACCTGTGTCATGCAATGCCCATGGAGGACAGAAGAGGCCACTGGATCCCCTGAAACTGGAGTTACAGACAGTTGTTAGCTGCCATGTGGGTGCTGAGATTCAAACCTGAGTCTTCTGCAAGAATATCCAGTGTTCTTAACTGCTGAGCCATCTCTCCAGCCCCATCATTGTCTTTTTAAAGAAAGAAAAACATCCAGCATAGGAAAATATATGCAGAATGTTCTGAATTATTTTGCCATTTAGAATTTATAGCCAAGGAGCCTCAAACCTTTATTAAGTATCATCTTAGAATGGGGCTTGACATATATGAGAAATAGTCCAGTAACAAGACAACAATGTCATCAGTTTGAATGTTTAGGAATGTTAGGGAAAGTTGATAGAAAAACTTATAAAACACATCAATATAAGGATGTACACTGAATAGCATGGATGTCATTACTTGAATGTTCTCATGGAGGCTTAACATCAGAAGGCCAAAGTTCTAGTCTTAGTTCATTTACCAACTGTGTAACCTTACTTTACGTCTGAGCCTTGTTCTCACTAGTAATGGGAAAATAACACCTACCCTGCCTATCTTACAGGGATGTTGTGTTTAACTGGTGTGTATGAAAGTTCTTTCAAAATTGTAAACTATATGTCTAATTATTAATGTATTTGTTCCAAGGTTATTAATACAAGTTCAAGCTTAAAAAAAAAAGAAAGAAAAAAAATGCACAGAAGTCTCAGAGAAATTCAGGCTATAATTTGGAACCAGTAAAAATTACAAATAAAATTAGTATGCAAGAAAAGACAGGGTCTCCCTGTACCCCTAGCTGGCCTGGAACTTGCTAGTTAGACCAAGTTGGCCTTGATCTCACAGAGATTGCCCCCACCCCCCCTAACATGGGGGCTGGAATTAAAGGCGTGAAAGGTATGTGCCACCACACTGGCCAAGGAAAGATTTTTCCTTTCTTTTCTAGTTTTGATTTTGTGTGTGTTTTGTTTTGTTTGATGGAGATAAGGTCTCATTATATAACCCTGGCTGGCCTGCTATGAATACTGGGCTGGCCTTGAACCCATAGAGATCCTGCCTCTGAGTGCTGGGATTAAAGGTGTGCCCCACAACACCTGGTTTGGTTTTGATGTTTTTTTTGTTTTCATGTCTTTGAGACAGGGTCTCCCTGTAGTCTCAGCTGGCCTGAATTCACTATATAGACCAGGCTGGCCTCAAACTCACAGAGATTTGCCTGCCTCTGTCTCCCAAGTGCTGAGATTAAAGGCATGTGCCACCAGGTTGACTTCCAATTTGTAGCAATCCTCTTGCCCCAGCCTCTCAAGAGCTGGGGCTATAAGAATGAACAACTAGGCCTTAACACCGTCTTTATAAAAATAGATACCATTACTCTGCTCAGCTCTAGGTCCACTTTCTGGGAGATGACCTTGCCTCAGGTTTCAGGAAACTGACCTATTCTGGAAGTAGGTATCAACACAGCCTAAGTTCATTCTCCAGACCAAACAGTTTGGACTTGAGGCTCTTCAGTTCTCCTTGTATCTTATGTGCTCGTCTATTGCTATCACGCACTTCATATAGAATGGCAAGATCCTGGTTTCCCCGGGTGGTAACTGTTGCCTAGGGAGTTAAAAAAAAGAAAACAATTATGGCATGAGCCAGGGGAGAGAAATCAGTCACAAAGAGCTGGCTATGCTAGCTGTTTCCTTCTTACCTACAATAAATTCAATCCTAAATTTTTGAGTGACTAAACAAAGAAAACACTCAATTAGTCAGGCATGGTAGAACATGCCTTTAATCTTAGCACTTGGGAGGGAGAGGTAGACAAACAAGAGTTCAAGGTTATCCGTGACTACACATTGAATTTGAGGAGAAACTAGGCTTGAGTGGGTAAAGAGAAAAATACAAGGTTGGCAAGATAACTTAGTATTAAGTAAAGGCACTTGCTACCAAGCCTCTGGACCTGAGTTCAATCCCAGAACCCACATGGTGGAAGGAATGAATGGACTCCCACAAACTGTCCTCTGACCTCCACACAGAGACCATGGAACACTTGTACCCTTGCACACATACAATGAAATAAACATTAATTTGCTGGGCATGATGACACAAGCCTTTAGTCCCAGCACTCAGGAGGCAGAGGGAGGTGGATCTCTGTGAGTTCAAGACCAGCCTGGTCTACATAGTGAGTTCCAGGCCAGCTGGGGCTACAGGGAGACCCTGTCTCAAAAAGACCAAAAAATAATTAATAATAATAATAATTATAATAAATTTTTTAAAAGTTTTTTAAAAAACCAATATAAACATTTTTGATAAATTTGACGAAAGTGATAGAGCCCCTTTTTTAACTTTGTTCAGAAAACAGTAACCATTCAGGACACATGGGTGACTGGTTTAATTTCTACCAAGGATTTTGCAACTTTGGACGCTGAAAGTACTTTACTACTCAATCGTTTTACCCATTTTAAAAACAGACATAACTCTTTGTGGTGTGTGTAGAGTGCACATATGTATGTGCATGTGGGGGTATGCATGAACCCATGTGTGAAGGTCAGGGGCTGACATGTTTGCCTTCTTCTGGAGCTCAGCTTTGGCTAGACTGGCTGATCAGCAAGGCCCTGGGCTCTGCTTGTCTCTGTCCCTAGCACTGGGGTTATAGATTTGTGTCATGCCCAGCATTTTGTGGGTGCTGAGGACCTGAGCACAGGTCATCCTGCTTGCACAGCACTTTACTCACTAAGCCATCTTCCCAGCCTCCAAACAGACCTAATTCTTTTAACCTACTTGAACTGGGAGGGATGACAATGTGTAAGTTTCACTCTGCTTCTGTTTTCCCACAGGGTGTTCCTCCTGAACTGACTTTCAGAGAGGACAGTGATCTGTTGGTGTCTGAGCAGGGATACAGCACATCTCTCTGGTTGTTTTCTTCCATTATTTTATTTATTTATTTATTTTTGGTCTTTCTAAGACAGGGTCTCCCTGTAGCCCCAGCTGACCTGGAACTTGCTATGTAGACCAGGCTGGCCTCGAACTCACAGAGATCTGCCTGCCTCTGCCTCCCAAATGCTGGGATTAAAGGCGTGCGCCACCACGCCCGGCCTTGTTCTGTTATTTTTTTAGCAATGGAGATCAACTCGGCACCTTGTGTGCTTAGCACACACCTGCTACATGCTATATCACATCCTTGGACATCTATATTTCTGAGGCACTCTCCTGACCTTCTGCCTCCACTTCCTTTTCCCTTGGGATAATTTGGAACAAAACTTACCTTATACAGCATTTGCTCCAAGTCTTTCAGCTTCTGTCTGAGAACCTTAATATCTGTCTTGAAGCCTTCTACTTCCAGGGTGCGTCGACGCTCCAAGGCCTCATAGCGTTTTGTCATTATCTGTAAGCGCTTCCCCATCTTGTTGGAGCGATCCTAAATATGGGTGATGGGAAGGAGTTTATGAAGAGGGGTGTATTCCCTGGGGCCATCTGCATGCCCCACTCCATCACAATGCAGAGTTTTATACCTTGAAGATCTCTCTCCTCATTCCTTCTTCCTCCCGAATGCGGGCAAGTTCTTCTTCTAGGGAAACGCATTGCTCTTGGTACATGTTGGACAGCTTTTTCTCTTGTACTAACTTATCTTTTAGAGACTGTAGGCCAAAGGAAAAAATATTAATATTTAGTCCTGTAACTTAGATAACTCAAAATAGCACTTCAGTGAAGAAAGAGGAAAGATTTCTAGAAGAGCAAAATGAGTTAAGAACAAGATGGCAAGAAATTCTGAAAAATATCTGGAAAGTTCCTATTTCTAGACTTTTTCCTTTAGCCCCTTTTCTAAAAAAATTTTTTTTTTTTTTTTGTCTTTTTGATACAGGGTCTCTCTGTAGCCCCTACTGGCCTGGAACTTGCTATGTAGACCAGGCTTGGCCTTGAACTCAGAGATACGCCTGCCACCTCTCCCGGCTGAGAAATTTTTTAAATTATTTATTTATTCAGTTTTGTTCTGTGTAAAATTTTTTAAGTTAATTTATTTTTATTTTTCTGTGTATGAGCATTATGTCTGTGTGTATGTAGGTGCACCCATGTGGTGTAGTGCCTGTGGAGGACAGAAGAGGGCATCAGTTCCCTTGAAACCAGAGTTAAATGGATATTTGTTGGCCAGCATGTGGGTGCTGGGATTTGAACCCAGGTCTTTCTTCAAGAGCACAGACAATGCTCTTAACCACTGATCCATCTCTCCAATCTCCCCAGTAAAAATGATTTAACCTAAAAAAATGAGCCAGGTGTGCTGGCTCATGTCCTATAATCCTAGCACCGAGGAGGTAGAGGCAGGAAGATCAGGAGTTCAAGGCACATCCTCAGCTACACAGTGAACTGGAAGCCACTGTGGGCTACATGAGATCCTGTCTGAAAAGGCCCAAACAAAACGAAACAACAAATAACTTCTACATCAGATCACATTACTTCCTTAAACACACAGTACTTCCAAGACATAACGTTTAGGGCTACGTCTACATTCCTTACTGTGATCTGGGCCATCCATGATCAGCTGCTGCCAACCCTTCCAAGGATCTTCCACATCAATGCCTTGTTTTTTTCTTTTTCTCTTGTGGTACTGAGGATTAAAGCCAAGGCCTTGTGAATCCTACACCTCTACCAATAAGCTACATTACCAGCTCTCACTTCTTCCTTTATTCTATAAGCATGAGGATGGCCTTGCTTTTCCTCAGACAAGTTTCATATACAAGCTTTGCATAATTCTCTTATTACCATAAAAATTATTATTATTTTTTTTTTGGTCTTTTTGAGACAGGGTCTCCCTGTAGCCCCAGCTGTCCTGGAACTCACTATGTAGACCAGGCTGGCCTTGAACTCACAGAGATCCACCTGCCTCTGCCTCCAGGTGCTGGGATTAAAGGCGTGCTCCACTACACCCAGCTACCATAAAATTATTTTATAAACTATGATTTCCTTGATGTTTGTTAATTTTTTCCCCTCTCATTAAAATATAAACACTCGGAGAACAGACTTTGTGTAACTCACATGGTGCTATAATCCTAGAGTTTGACCCATCTGTTGAATCAATATATGAATGAATGATTTTTATTTTGAGACAGGGTCTAACTCCATAGCACAGGCTGGCCTTGAAAGCATGGAGTTCCTGCCTCTGTCTGGTGCAGTATTTTAAATCTTCAAAAACCATTATGATCAGACACTTTGAAATCTACTTTATGATGCTACTACTGCTACTCAAGGACTGAATGGCTCTTATATAACAATTTGTAGGCTCTTTGGAATTCTCTTAGTTTGTTCTCCTCCCACCCCCTCAAATTCAAGACCTCAGTATGCTAGGCAAGCACTCTCCCAAACAAGCCATATCCCCAACCCCAAGGAATTCTAGGAACATAATTTCTGTAAGACACAATGATATTACCTTAATATATTCATTTTGGGTATGATGAGTCTCATGTAAAACTGGAAAAATTTTTCCAATTTTATCTTCTTTCTTCTTACACTGTAGCCTACATTGCTTAATCTTTGACATCAAATGATCCTTTTCAAGCATCCATGATTTCTCTTTATTTTGGTTTTCAAATCTCAGTTGTAAAAAGTCCTTGGTGCTCTCGTAGAGCAGTTCTTGGGTATGATGGAGACTACAACAGAGGAGCAATGGTGAGAGCATGAAGATGCTTACACTGCATACCCGAAATAGAGGCGTATTCCAGAAGATAAATACAGGTTCTATAAACTGTACAATATGAATTTTATAAAATATTATTTTCAGTTTTAAAAAGACAGCTTGATCACTAACAATCTTACATGTTCACTTAGCAAAGTGTTATTATAACTACCCATGCTCCCTGGTTCACAGATTAGGTGTTTTTTTTTTTTTTTTTTTTTTGTCTTTTTGAGACAGGGTCACCTGTACCCCCAGCTGGCCTGGAACTTGCTATGTAGACCAGGCAAGCCTTGAACTCAGAGATCCACCTGCCCCTGCCTCCCAAGTACTTGGATTAAAGGCATGTACTATCATGCCCAGCTCACTGATCAAGTCTTTACAGCAAATTTCCTGAGTGCTAAATTGAGGTTATAGGATTAGAAAGATGACAGAACTATTTATACATAGTCTGAGTAACTAGGGACTGTTCCCAAGGAGTGACACAAGGAATAACTGAATTATGATAGGAATCTGCCTAGGACTTAACATGAGTTCTTCATTTTAAAAAATTTTATTTTATTTATTTTTATTTAATGTGTATGAGTATATTGTTTGAACGTAGGTAGGTGCAACTGTGTCATGCAATGCCTGAGGAGGTCAGAAGAGGGCATTGGATTCCCTGGAACTGGAGTTACAGATAGTTGTTAGCCACCATGTAGGTGCTGGGAATTGAACCTGGGTCCTCACAAGAGCAGTCAGTGCTCTTAACCACTGAGCCATTTCTCCAGCCCCTAATATGAGTTCTTAAATATTAAAGATACTGCCTCCATGTAAAATGCTGTCAAAATCTCGGTGTTTTTTTTCTAGGCCAGTGCTTTACCATACCCCTCCAGCCCTTTTCTCTCTTTAAAAATTTTCTTCTATTCTTCACATAGGGTCTTAATAAGCTGCCTATGCTGACTTTGAATGTTTAGTCTTCCTTTCTCAACTTTTCAAGTAGCTAATTTTACAGGCATATACCACACCCAGCTAAACTTCTTGTCCCTTTTTAAAAAAATTTATTTTATTTTATTTTTATTTTAATGTGTATGAGTATTATGCCTACAAGTGCATCCATGTCATACAATGCCTGCAGAGGCCAGAAGAGGGTGTCAGATCACCTGAAACTGGAGTTATAGATGGTTCTTAGCTGCCATGTGGGTGCTGGGATTCAAACGTGAGTCTTCTCCAAGAGCAGCCCCTGCTCTTAACCACTGAGCCATCTCTACAGCCCCCTCTTGTCCTTTTCTTAAGACTGGCTTCTCTATCTTCTCTATGAAGTTATGTCAATGCTTTAGTCCATTGTAATATTTCTGTTGTCTAAAATCCCACATTGGTTTCAATTTATACTGTCTTATAATTTGACTTTCATTTATATACTATGTCAGATTTTAAATGTCAACGTGCATATTTTCCCTAACTGAGCAAAGGATATATATTTTTTATAATATATATTACAATTATATATAATTTTATGATATGTGATGTACACACACATTTTTTTTTCTTTTTTTCTTTTTCTTTTCTCCCTACTACCACCAGAACAAAGACAGTACCAACCACTGGAGGTGCGAAAGCACTGAGTACATTCCTGATGACTGTTGTTGATTTAGGAACAGACAAATGATACATGCCTAAAAAACAATGTTCTTGGAAGTTAACAACTCACTGTTTAACATCAACACCTAGAAAAGTACTATATCAAGTGAGGAATTTCCCACAAGGGTATTAAATACCATGAAGCAAGCAATCGCTATAATTTTCCATTGATCAAATGATGTCAGATTCACTTAGCTCCTTCATGAGTAGCAGGGTACATGTGTAAGAGGAAAATGATAGCACGGTGTTAGGCACAAAGTAAAGGTTATCAGATGAATGAAGATAGGTAGATAGATAGATGATAGATAGATGATAGATAGATAGATAGATAGATAGATAGATGTTTGTCTATATCTACAAAGGATTTAGCTATCACAAGGACATCTACCATCTACTTTAATGAGTAACTTTATACTGTCTTACATTATGTTCTCAATTACAAACTGAAACAGTGTGGTCTTGTTAATGTATAAATGATTTGAAAGTGATATCCATATTAGAGAGTGGGAGGACAAAAGAAGGTAAAGGGGATAAATATGGTTGAAATATGTAATATATAAAATATCATAGTGAAATCCAGTATTATGTATAATATATGCTAATAAAAGCATTAAAACATATCACAGGTAGGTTGGTGATGCAGCTCATGTATGAGATCACCTGCGTAGCACCTGTTAGGTCCTGTATTTTATCTCCAGTACTGCAAAATTAAATAAACAGAATATCACAACCAAAAAAAAAATTAACAAGTGACACCCAAAAGTCATTAATGGCATAGGATTACATGCCACTCAAGAGCTTTAGGGTGATTTGTCTAATGGAAGGAACCTATCATGAGCGCACATATGTACTATAACTAGGATGATTATTAACATCCTGAAAAACCAATATAAAATTACACATTACTTGAGCTGAAGAGATGGCACAGCAGTCAAGATCATGTACTGATCTTCCAAAGAATCTGAGCCCAGTTCCTAGCATCAGAGGCTCACAACTGTCCACAACTCCAGCTCCACAGGAACCAATGCCTTCTTCTGGACTCTGAGGGCACCTGCACTCACACATGCACAGACCACCCCACATATACATATAATTTAAAAAATTAAAATAAATCTTAAAAATAACAGTCACAGGCTAGAGAGATGGCTCAGGGGTTAAGAGCACTTATAGCTCTTGCTGAAGACCCAGGTTCAGTTCCCAGCTAACAACTATCTGTAATTCTAGTTCTAGGGCATCCAATGCCTTCTTCCGGCTTCTGTGGGCACTGCACACACAAGTGCACTTATATACATGCAGGCAAAACAGTCATATACATAAACAAACAAATAAAATATGGGCTGGGAGCCAGGTATAGGCCATCAGCACTCCAGAAGCATAGTGCAAGCCCAGCTAGGGCAAAAAGAAAGGAGTGGGGGG